TCTATAGTCTATATACTCTACGCAGTTGACACATTTGTAGTGCTGCCACGCTAATAACGGTAAACACGAATGTATATATTAACACACAAATTTTATTATTTCAACACACGGTAGTTGAACCTAAAAACATTTATTTCATTTCAGTTGAAAGAGTCGACCAATCTACCGTTTATTTTGTAGATCTACCACGATTTTAGCACCACGACTTTTCGTTGAACAATTTAATGTGGTAGCACTGGTCGGTCCTGGTTTCAAATATAATAAAGATTTTCCTGTGTTCATTCTTTTTCCCAAGGAACGTACATACGTTATATGCATATTAAAATATTTATATTAAAAATATATGATTGTCTCAGGTAAGAAATACATTGTTCTTTCCAATAAAGTGCTTAGTAATGTCAAATCAGTCTAGGCATTACATAAGATTTGATCCACCATTCGGACAGAGATTGGCCAACTTTTGATGCAATTTTATTAAAACACTTTGGTCATTACTGATCCAGATCATAGGTTTTGATCTCCGGATCAACTGAAAAACCATGTTTTTGTAGGTAAACCAGATTATTTATAAGAATCGTATATCCTCTCGCTAGTTTGAGAGATATTTTAGAAAAAATCGACTATATTCATTAGACCGAAAAAAATGTTGATCTCCTGTTTGTAAAATCAGGCCTAAAAGTACCAAACAGTGATACACTATATTTATATTTACATATTGCAGTAGAGTGGACTTTCAAGTTACAAAATTGCTCTGCAAGTAGAGATATATGTTTAATATTGTTTGCAAAATGCTTTGATGTCTAAGATATAATATATTATTCGGTCGTAGTCTACAAAAACCCATTACCGCTTTACCGCCTCCATCAAAATTAAAATTTTATCTGGCTACTTTCCAACAAAGGCGCGTTCACCTCGCTTCGCCCCTCTCTGGTGCTTCCGATCTTCTCTCCTTTTTTTAATCCCCTTAAGGAAACAACTCCGTAATATCTGCTAAGCTGCTCTACAAAGTACAATTTGAAGCTGAAGTTCTTTTCCGTCGTCGTCGAGGACTTCCTTTATTCGTTAGAACGCTGCTGGACTTTGTTCCTCAAAAAGAGATGCATTAAAATCGGGCTGGCCGAAGTCTAGGAATCGTTGGCCGTAGCCATACTTTTTTAATTTACTCACGTTTTCAAATACTCTCTAACTCGAAGCTTTTTCAATTATCTGCAGTTAAATATCGATAACATGACAGAAATATACAGGGTGCTCCACGAAGTATTGAAGCGATCAATTACTCGTAAAGTAGGCGTATTAGGAGAATTATCAGAATTTGGAGTTTTGGTGAAATTGATGGGAGCCATATTATAGCTAAAATATACTAAATGACATATAAAATATAACTCCCTGTAATAATGAATTTATGATAAGGATTTTTTGGGTGTGTTTCTTTAGGTTAGGACAGAACACAATACGAGGTCAGTGAATTAAGTAATGAGCGTCGGAGGGGAGACAGGGGGATATGTGATCCACCTTCAGTACAAGTTTGAACTAGCTCAAGTCATTTGGTTGTCTGTAGAAATTTTTATGAAACAGTTTTTTCTATGGTGTTTCAAAAATGAGTGACATCAATTTCCAGCAACGGTGTGCTATCAGGTTTTGCTTCAGACTTGGGCAAAGTGCAACGGAAACTCTTACTAAACTTCAGCAGGCGTACGGAGACAGTGTTAGGAGTCCAGGTTTTTTGGTGGCTTAAGGCATTTCCAAAAGGAAGAGAGTCGTTTGAAGATGAACCTTGAAGAGGAAGACCTTCACCTTCAAGAACCGAAGAAACCAGGATCTTGTGCGTTCAAATCGTCGGATGATAGTTAAAATTATCGGGGAAGAGCTAAATTTGACTAACATTACCGTTTATCAGATCAAGAAAAACTGAGTGTTGCATCACGATAATGCTCCTTGTCACCCAGCAATGTCAGTAAACGAGTTTTTGGCCAGTAAAAACATTTCTGTGGCTCATCAGCTTCCTTATTCGACTGACTTGAGTACTTGTGACTTTTCTTTATTCCCAACGCTAAGAAATACGGGAACTCATTTTGGGACAGCCAATCTACTACTGGCGCTCCAGCACTGTTATGAGGAGTGGAAGAACCATCTTCGGCGCTGTGTGGCTTCAGAAGGAAGTTGTTTTGAGGGTGACAATATAAAATTGTAATTGTACAAAAAAAAAATAAAAAAATCACCCTCATCACTTAACTTACAAACCTTGTAAGTTTTTCAACCATATCGATAAAGTGGTATTTGTCGTTCATTTTGAAGAGCTGCTTCAATGTGTTCAGTATGCCTACAGTGAGAAGACGGATAACTATTCAATAGCTCAGGGAGTTTGATAGGGGGCGAATAGTGTGTTTGTGTGAGGAAATAGCCACCAGTGTGCCCGTAAGGCTAAATACGGTGCTCGTTTCTTGCCAAACATGGAATCAGGAAGGCAGTACACATAGAGTTATAAGTACTGGGCGTGTCAGAAGAACGGCCCCACACCAACATTGCCGCCTTAGGCTTACGGCACTACGGGACTGCTTCTCGTCGACAAGTTCAATTGGGGACCAATGATTTGGGGAGCATGGAACGGCTATTACTTTGCGAATTTTTTATTGGTGGATTAACAGTTTTGGACTTCCTTCATAACGTCCTCAGATTACCCTACCTCTCACTCCGGAGCACTGAAGTGGTTGACTGGCTCGATCCAGATGAAGGCTGAACTGAAATCTCGAATGGAATACCATTGTCTTTAGTGGAGAATTCACATTCTGTTTGGGGTTGCATGATAGCCGTGCAAGGGTGATAAGGCGACGGAGCTGAAAGACCAAATTCTCAACATCCTATGGAAACGCATGTTCACCAGTGTTGGAGTTATGGTATCGGAGGAATGATTTGGTATTAATCAGAGACAAGATGGGTACCGTGTGTTACATCCATGTTAAACCTTATATACGAACGCTCAATAGCCTATGTTTCCAATAAGATAATCCGCAATCACGTGAAGCTAGAATTATCTCCGTCCATTTTGAAGATAATCCAGTCGATTGGGCCCCTAGATCCCAGTCATTGAAATCGTCTAGATTACTCTGTTTACCCCTCCTTCACAAATTTCAGCAGTACTTCGGCACGAGGTATACAGGGTGACTTCGAAGTTGAGTCATTTATTTTAACAGTGAGTAGATCTGATCAAAAGAAATGTTTTTTTCCTTTACCATTTTTCTGGTAAAATTAAAGTAACAAAGTTATAGCCCTTTGGAAGTTTGAGTACCGCCCTGCCTATTATATGCTCGTGTTTGGCGACAACGGATATAATCCGCCTGACCGGTTCATCGCATCGGAAACAAAAAAGCGAAAGAATTTGAAACGTTTATCACGATGTTTTTCGTCAGTCGATAAATCCTGAGTGAATAGTAGTGTGTTGCGTGGCTCAAACGAAATCAAAAATGGCACATGTTTACGAAAATGCTGAACTTGTGGACATGATTCTTATTTACGGGGGGGCAGTCTTTACAAAATGCTCCCGGATGCATCACGGATTTATGCGAATCGGTTTCCCAATCGAGTGCAACCAACCCCTCGTGACTTTGTTAATGTAGTGCAAGGGGCTCGTGAATCAGGTGACTTAAGACCTCACAGGTGAGGGCATGCTGCTCCAATACCGCACGATCAAATACAGGTCCGCACTAAAATACTTGTCGGGAGGATACTTTATTAAACAAGGTAACATTTTTTTTTTATTTTTTTTTTATTTTTACACACCTATTTTGGTTTATCTTCCTTCTACAATCATTATCTGAAAATTAATGACTCAACTTCGAAGTCACCCTGTATATAGCATAACCTAGGTACTTACCTCAAGAGGAAACCGATACAAACTGATTCGGAGTAGGACCAGACATGTTTCTGAGTGCATAACACATCGTGGAGGTTCGACAGATTATTGTTCTTTTACATTTTTTTCAGGAATAGAATCTTACTGAAATATTGATCATTTACCAGCCTAAGCCTAAGAAGCTTAAGGCATATATAGAAAAAGGTATTGTAATGCATTCATTATTACTAGGTGCTTTTTTGGTATATTTGAAGAATGGTTACAATGGGAGAAGATGTCAACTTGCTTATCTTAAATGAGTCAATCTAGGCATACATCATATATAGGGTAATTTAGAAAACTGGGGCAATATTTCTAGACGCCCAAATGCAACGGAAACGCTTCTGTACGCGTAGGTCCTAAAACATATTATTACCAAAGTACATGCTGTTGTAAATTTCTATGCTGCTGGTGCGGCTGAAGAAGAATATAACATGATTAGTTTTCAAATACTAATACACTAAACAACAATTTTCAATCTAACTTGACTAAGCGTAGCGTATTTTCAAAGAGAAACGGATTGAGGTCTTTTATTTAGGTTTTTGGCTCAAACATTCAAACAAAGTGTTATTTAGAGAACGTAGACAAACGAAAATTAATTAAGAAAAGCGACCAATGTAAAAGCGGATACCTTATTGGAAAGCACAATACATGTTTCAAGAGAGGATAGTTGCTCAGCTTTCGGTCGTTGTCCTACCTGAGATCAAGCTTAGAGGATGCTGAAGGGTTGCCAAATAGCATGAAACAAACAGCTTGCTGTCCATGGATGGTCGTCTGTGGACTAATGAAAGCTATATCGATACGTATTTGCTAAAGTAACGTAAGTCACCAAAAACGATTTCGGAGAAAGAACGTGTTTTTAATTTAACCTGGTTAAACTTTTTTAAATTGTGCAAAATTTACCAGGGTGTTTCTCTGAGGTCTATGTTTAATTAAGAAAAATGATTTTTGAAGTTTTTCTATAGTTTTAGTGGTTAATTGATACTTAAGTTACTTTACGGGTTCAGAAATCTCGAAGTCTTGATCAAAAATGTAACGTAATTACACAGATACGTCAGTTTGGCGGCAAATTGTAGCACTTAAAGTATTTTGGAAAGAATTAAAAACTATCGTTTATTATTAAAAAACACAAAATGACGTTACAAAAGAAAATATGAAATTCTTACTAGTAAAAAATATATATTTTTTTAAGTTTTGGAGCGTTCATCTTCATTGTCATCCTCTGCATCAGTTTCTGCTAACTCATCTGGAAGAGAAGACTTACATTTTAATTTAAAGAATTCATCGTGAAACCTGGCAGGTATGACATGTAATTAACTAACGGCAGAAAATATGCTTGTACATCGCATTCCTGTTCAAATTGAACACCCACTGTCCCATTTGAGCTATCAGTACTTATTGGTACATTTATTTCTTCTGGCATAATATGGTTACCACCATTTTCATAAGGACTCGAATTGTTAGAAGACAATAAAATTGATTGATCTATTTCGATTACGTCTTCATTTACTAAAGTAGTTTTTAAAAATTTTTTCGGAATTATCTAGATCAAAAATATTGTCACTTGAAATAATGGATATCGGCATAGACCCGATTTCTTCCTCAAAATAAACATTATTCGATTCATCATTTTGGCTAAGAGCCGCCAAAATCCTTTTTGTTCGTGAACTGACCATAGACATAATCTGAAAGTAACCGAGCATTTATGTTTAAAATGTTTCATAGCTTCTATATAAATTAGAATAGAAACAAATACAACAGTCTTTCTCTAACTTCAACCGATTCATTCCTGTAAATTTCTCACAGGCTTCGAGGTTATGACAGAATAACTTCTAATAAATAAACGAAATTAAATACGAAATGGGAGTTTTATAGGTAGGTACATAATATTAGTTAAGGTTTTAATATTTTTAAAATTTAACTACCAAAAAACGTTTTTTTAACTTGTACCGATTCATTCCTGCAAATTTCTCACAGGCCTTGAGGTTATCACACAATCATTTGTAATAAATGAACGAAATTAAATATGAAATGGAATTTTATAGGTATCTACCTACATAGTATGAGCTAAGATTGTAATATTTTTGAATTCTAACCATAAAAAATTGTCGTTTAATTACCTGAAATCAATAATTAGTCGATGGTAGCACGAACCTAACACTGTCGTAAGCCAAACACTGACTGCGAAAATCTGACGTAAGTCGCAGAAACCGACAGCGACTTATGTTATTATGGCGGTAAAAAACCGCATTACTATGATGGAAATAGTGATGAAGTTACGTTTCTTTTACGGATATGATTTAAAAAAATCTGGACGTACGTTTCCCAAAAAAGCTAAAAACAAAGGTTTAAAGTAAAATCTAGGCTTCCTACACCTTGGCAGGACCTTCTCAACAATAAAAGCCTTACGTTAATGGAAAAACATGATTTTCACCAAAAATGTCACTTACGTTACTTTGGCAAAAATGCATCGATATTACTAATTTCTGTTCTTCAGTATCAGCAAAATCCCAAATCTTCGTAATTGTCTAACGTAGAACACCTTGTATAGTATAAGTTGTTTACTTCCGCGGTAAATAGTGTGTGAATAATCCATGTCGTTGAATCCATCATCGTCATCTGATATGGACATCGTTAGCCAAAATATCCCTTCTAACTCAAATAAAAGAAGTCTATTAGGTCGAAATGTGAGCGTTTCGATATCCCGTCGTCCACGTTAAACTATCCGTAACTAAGTCCGGCCGCACATGGAAGGAAAACGCTTTTCCTGGAGTTTTATTGCCTGTTTTATTACCCCGGACTACTGCTAGTAACGGTTGTATATGGTATTTTGCTTGCTTGCAAGAAATATTCCGCCTTTTGCAACTTTATCGACACGAGACTTTGTATTGACATTGAAAGGCGAAAATGTCAGCCTGATTGAATTATTATTGATATTGGTTTGTGGACTTCCTACACCACTGGCGACGAGGTACTGTTATCGCCAAAACTTTTGAAGTATAGATACGTGCTCTGAATGTTACATGACATGTAAATCACGAAAAACCAAGTCACTCGTTTCCGTCGGTCTGTCTATATGTCTGTCTGTCCGCTAATCTTATAACCGCCTATAACGTAGGAAGTACCGCTCGGATTTTGACGAAATTTTCGCACTAGGCTACTATAATGCCAAGAATGAAAAATCTTTGTAGATTTTGAAAATCGGTGGCGGAGGTAGGGGCAAAAACACGAAGAAAGTTTTGAACATTCTTTTGTGGCGGTTGAGGGTTGGGGGTTGTAGGGGGTAGGTGTTGTAAATGTCTTTAGTATCGGTTATAAAGCTGTTCTATCATTGAAAAGCTTCGAATCCCGATAACAACGAGAAAAATAAATGCTAAGGTACGATGTACAATGTGCTCATAATTCGAAATGACTGCAACCTTTGGCGTTGCGTGCACGGGGTGACACTGCATCGTCGTGGAGGCCACTTCCGACAGTGCATTGGGTAACAAACTTCTAGTGGTTTGTAGTGGTGTCGTCATTGACATACCGCTACAGGAGAAATATTTATATATTTTAGCAATATTTTGATATTGGGGGTACGTACAGCTTTAGCGTTCTGCGATGCCGTTGTAAATGATGACTCCACAGTTTTTATATCTACACACATATTCTTCAGAATTTTATGATCCTTAAATGTACCCGTTCTGCTCAAGCCTTAACTTGTGTTACTCAGTCCATGATAGTTCTCTGAATATATAGTCAGGTAGATTGACTCGGTACTTATAACACACGGACTGAAAAATCTACATAAATTTTAAACACGGACTTGTGTAATGCAGATATCTTCAAGCAACAGATAAACTTGTGAACCAAAGTTCGAAAATTATCACATCATGTTCAGTTTGATGACTGGTCTGGTATAAGAAACAACACTATCTGATAATTTCAAATCCTACCTAGGAACTTCTGTTTTCCTGGAAGGACTAAGGTTTGACAATCTCAATGTATAACACATTAAAGATACATTTTTGAAATCTGAGGTAAAAACTTCAACCATCTCCGCAAAAATCCATGAGAAAGAATAACGTTGATGCTGGTGTAAAAACGGCGAAACCTCATATTGAAATCCTAATTAAGCCATCTTGTAAAGAAGAAAATGTGACAATCTTAATGTACAACTTATTTTGAAATCCCAGGATAATACTCAGGAGAAAGTTGAAACGCTTTTGGAGAATTTAGGTTTTTTCCATCACTCTGCTGAAGTAGTTTGAATCCGGAAACTTTCTAAGCGCCATTTTGTTAGTTAAGTAAATACAAAATTTTGCCTCACTTCAGCCACTTTGTAGCTCTTACCGTTTTCGAGAGCCCAATGGTGAAGGTCGAATTTGAAACACCCGGTAAAAAATAAATATCTAAAAAATAGTAGTAGTAGTTTTAACTTAGAAAACGCGATATTTCTTATTTCATTAAAATTGAAACCAAAAATGTCGCAGCCATTACCAATTTTATTGATATTGTTACATATCATATTAACTGATGCTTTTTACAACAAGTTAGCTCTTTGGCATAAAAAGGAACACTTGATGCTGAAGCTAATCGTGGCACCAGAAATTCTGATGCGAGATAATTTGGGGACAGTCTATCTGTCCGTGCAACAATATGAGTAATATGAGTACAGAAAATTGATGCCGTCGTTGCTCTAAATACTGAAAACTAAACTTTTTTATAAGATCACTATAGTAGAAACTGGAATAGGTTCTGATTATAATGAACTTATATTCCATCAGTTTTGAAACTCAGAAACCTCAATTTTTTTTCTGAATTTTAACGACAGAATCCACATATGGCTTATATGACTATATATATATATATATAAAGTTTTAACCCGATCAGGCTGAAAAATAAAGATCTCAATGTACAAACATTCTCAAAGTCCCTACAGTTTCTTATTATAAGGCCATACGCTTTAAATGCACAATAAATGGTTTGGTTAATATGACCATTTAAGGTTAGTTGTCGTTCAAAGTAGTCACCTAAGTCTCACAAGGCTCCAATACGCATTGCTCATAGGCGGAAGTGTCGAGAATACTCGCTTAGATTCACCAATAAGATCCAAAATTCACCAAGTTGTTGCCCAACTTCCACCCTGTAGAGTGTGCAATGTCGATTCATTAGCGACAGGATGCCATGCAATCGGACAATTTGCTTTGTCGCGTTTCAAAACCGATACACCACACAAAGAATTTGTTATCTCGCTGGACTGGTCAGTACCACGTGTATTCTCTGCTCGAGTCGTGTTTGTTTTGTAGTGGGGGAACAATTTATTTATACAGTGTCATGGTCGGTCGCAACGAATGTCAATTGATTACCAAACGATCGACATTTTCACCTCCCTTTGATGATAGCGGTAATAGTGAAACTTCCACTGCAACGCATTTGATTCAAATTGTAAGCATACAAAATACACATGTCCGGTTAACGTCACAAAACTCGACAGCCCTTCTTTCATATTATACATCCAATGGCGACATTTGCACTGAAATGGGTATAATGGTCGCTGCTAAATTCAAGTAGTAAACCTAATTACAGTGTTACTGTGTTATTGGCTGTAGTGTATATTATATGTATACAGAGTGGCCCAAAGAAAATTCCGCACCCCTATTTGTGGCTCCCCTGGTATATTTTAGGGAAAATGCTCGGACAAGTCAATTTTTATTTCTAGCGCACGGGTACTACGTATCTTAAAAAGCGACATTGTGTTGTTTTTTTTGACATCTTGTAGATTTGTCTACAAGATGCTAGCACAAGCGTACATAGTTGTAAACTTGTTTTGTAGCTGTACGTGTTGCATAAATGTCAGCGAACAGCGATTTTTTACGTTTTTGAAGTTGTTTTTACATAGTAGCCGTGCGGAACGTCTTTTCATCTACAGCCGCACAATACAGGGTGAAAAATGAGATATTGCGTTACACTTTATATTTTTAAATGGAAACCCTTTTTTTATTTTCAGATTTGCTTTGAAGTTTTTAGAAAACTTCTTTGTGCTGTTGAGCGTATAAATCCTGAAGAAGTAGCCAGTCCACGGGTGCTTTGGGTGCTGTCAAGTGCTACTTGACCCAAAACTGATATTTTTGCGGCTTCAATTCTAACTGGTCGATTTTTTCGATGGCGATTACGGCAGATCCAGATTCAGTTTCTTCAAATTTTCTTATCAACTTAACCACATCCTTATCGTTAATATTGTTGTCTAAATGTAACGCTTTAAACAACCGGGCAGTAGCTCTTGCAATGCTCCCATTTTGGTATTACAGTTTTGTTATTACAACCCTTTCTTGATTTGAATAAGTCATTGTTCAATATTAATCACAACTAGGTAGGCAACTTAACAATTTGAAATGAAACTATTCCCAGGAAACGTCAAGTTGGTATCAAGGCCTACTATCTTATTTTGAAACTATTTGTATCTTGGATATTTATGAATAGTATAATTTGTTTTACGAAAACAGTGCACTCTATGACAGAAACACAAGAGTAATTACTTGTAGCAAATTGAAGGTGAAATTATAAAAATTGCGCGCTTCGAAAAAAAAAACATAGTAGGGTACTATTTTTATTTGGAAGAATAATGCAACTAGTCTCTGTATTTCCACCACTGGTGCACGTCAGTCTTAGTAAAGGCTTTTGAATATTGACAATACATAGGTCAGTCCACATTCCAAATTTTAGTTCATTCCAGTTGACGGACGATTTATTTTTAAACTACAACACCCCGTATATTTCTTAATGGAGCCCTCGAGGAAAACGTGTTACATAGAAGACTCCTTAAAATGCAGTCCTATGTATGATGTTTCATTTTTGGTCACAACTTGTGAATCACCCTTTTCAATAAAGTTTAAATTGCCCACTGCTTACCAAGATACCGAACAGAAAACGGTAGTAGGTATAACTGAAACTACTTCACTGAACGGTAATCTGTTGTCAATAACCAAAATCAACATTGAAACCCACAGAGCTACAAGTTAGTAAATATTCATTAATCTGGGGTTAGAGGATGTTAATGTCAGAAATGGGCTGTAATATTCGATTTCGTTTATCAATTCCCATCCTGTGAACATTATTGCTAAATAAACACTGTGTTCAGCGAGTTCAGTGAAAGGCCCAATAAATGTCCGCCTACTGGGTACAAGAATAAACAAAGCATCGAGCTTTTATTTACCAATAAAAGAACCGTTCATTCCCATTTCTATATATTTAGCTCGAAAAGATTTATTCAATTGTACTCACACTATTGTAGTTTATAAAGACTAGTTGACACTAAAAACGTGCGATGTTGGGGATGCCGCTAATACAAAAGCAGTTATTTCGAATAACCTATACAGCAAAGTCTTAAGATTACCGATGTTAGGCTCCGCAAAATAAATCAAACCTAAGCAAAACCTAATCCGGTCCTGTATCTCGATTAGATCAAACGTGAACACGTACGATGCGCCTTAATACTCAATCCAGGCGGTGGCCGCGATTGTAAATAAAACCTTTACACATCGATTCTAAAATAAACAAGTTGTCCAAATTATTTTGGTTTACGGTGTCTTCGAAA